TCCCTCATATGTGGATCCTAGAACCAAATCCTGATAAGTGAGTATATATCCAGACATAACTATAGGAATCAGGGTAATGGAAAGGAACCAGGGAGGTAAAGGAAAAGAAAGAACCTAAAAGAGAAGAACAGCAGGAAACAGGCGTTAATATGGGAGACATGGATAAAAATTGGGTTAGTTTAAGGGAGGGGGGAGGGAAGGATATATAAGGAACCTAGGGGATAAAGGGAAAGAAGGAGCTCGAGAAGTAGGACCATAGGAGAAGGGTATTAGTAAGGGAGAAAGGGGGGAAATGGGGGTACCTTAAGTGGGAAAATCATGATGAAGGGGTAAGACAATGCAAGAGATAAATAAGGCCTAGCTAGTTTTAAAAACCAGAGGGAACCATAATAGTCCAACAACCTACTGACAAATTATACATACCAGATCAAGAAATATTAAGTCTAGCTAAGGTTTATCTGAGAATAATTGATCTTTGCCCACAATTTATCTACATGGCACACAGTAATTAAAAGTACCAGACTGGTGGAACTAACCTTCTTGGATGTTTAGCAGACATAATTTGAGGCCTATACCAATTTGGACTGAGGACATAAAGGACAGTTTTTGCTCCTTGCCCTCCTAGGTCGACTAGTTCCAGGGGACTATGAGAATCTCCCAAAATGTCCTGTAATTGTGGTGAGTCACCTGTCCTCTTGATCAAGGAGGCCGAGGAGACCCCACAAGATGGACTTGAACCAGTGTCCAGTCTACAAAGAGGAGGGTCAACACAGAGGAATCATTTCTTCCATGCTTCCAAGTGAAGCCAGCCATGGTCGAGCAGGACCTTTGACTTATCTTCACATAAGCAGAACGGGTAAAAGTAGCCAGGGACTCCTCCCAAGCCCATGTGACCCCTGAGGAACAGATCCTCAAATGACCTTAAGATTAAAAATAAACTGGTTTATCTGGGCCAACTCTATGGCCTTAAACACCCAAAAGGAAAGTATAACCAAAGATTAACGGGGCCAATATAATTTTTTAACAGTCCATATGTATAGCTAAAGGCTACATAACAAGCAACAATGCCAGATAGGAGATACCTTCTTTTGAGTTGTTGGCCAGGGTGGCCCAAGGGACTCCCAGACAGTAACCCAGCATAAAATTGGAAAAATGAACAGGAGACCCCAATCTTATCTAAAGGAATATTAACAAATGATTGCTGCTTGATGAGGAACAGCTGACCTTTCTAAAACAAAGACCTCTAGATAGGCTGACTAGATTCACCAGAAGAGCAAGTAGTGGGGAATGGCTGGGGGTGCCAACAACACAGCAGACAGTAGCAGGGATATCAGAGTATAAGGGCTCTAGCGGGGGGTAGGGAGGCTATGGGAGGATGCCATCTGGGAAGTGGGTGTATAGTTGAATAAGATGGTTTAGGGTGTTCTGTGTGACACACACACACACACACACACAAAATTTTAAATGTATTATATTTGAGGAGGAAGCATAAAAATTTACATCATGTATTAATTAGTAGAGGTGATAAACATTACCATTGAAATCTACCTGATGACTTTATAGACATACACAGGCACCAAGGATCCAAATGCAACTGATTATGACTAGTAATAATCAGATACAAACAGATTAGAGACGCAGGTGCCAACATCTCAGTGTTAGTAGCAAAAACAATAAGTCTTTCTGTAAGAAACAGTATATTTTTAAATAAAATGGAGATGTTTTTTAAGGGTTAAAAACTCATCCAATTTTTTGTCTTACAGGGCTTATACTGTGTTCAATATTGAATAGCTGTATTAATTCAACAGCGAACCTAAAGATTTTATAGCCACTTTTAAAAGTGATGTATCCTTGCTCTGGAGTATGTTACTGAATATGTTAAAGCTGTAATGAAATGCTTCTAATCATATGGTTATTAAATATAAAAAAATTAAAAAAATAATTCTTCATACCATAAATATTTGCTCCTTAATAATTAGTAGATGTGAAAAACATTACCACTGAAGTCTACCTGATGACTTTACATCCATGCTCAGATGCCAAGGAGCTCAGAAAGTAACCAACTGTTACTAGATATACAGATATACAGAGATTAGAAAGGCATGTGCAAACATCTTAGTGTCAATTGCATTAAAAATGAGTTTTTCTATATGAAACTGTAATAATAATGAAATGGAGATCTTTTTTAAAGGTTAAAACCTCATTTAATTTTATATCTTACAGGGTTTATACTGAGTACAATATTGTATAACTGTATTAATTCAACTATAAACCTAAAAATTTACAGCCAATTTTGAAAGAGATGCATCTTAGCTCTGGAAATGGTTATTGAATATGTCAATGCTGTTGTAATGAAATGCTTCTTCTAATTATGTGGTTATTAAATAATTAAAAAATAAAAAATAAAAAGCAAAAGGGAAAAAAGTGTAGAAATAACTGTCTACATACAATATACATGTTAACAGTTGATTCCGTTTATACTTTCATAAAGTCGCGAAGTTATTACTAATACTAAACCATAGTTACTTTACCCTGCCAATCTCATGTCCATCACAAGCATCTCGACAGACCACTTCCATGAGGGCTGCTCCATAACTCTCAATGATAGAGATGTTTTCTCGTTGTAATTTACTAAACACATCTTCAGGGGCTGTCAGTCTTTCCCACATGGTTTTCTTGGCTAAAAGGATTTAAATACAAAAAATCCAATAAAAAGCAGCTGAGTAATTGCATCTCATGTTGAACACAAAACCGTTTCTATTACTACATGGATACAAAGGGTTGCTGGCAGTGGGTCCAGGCAAGTGATTGTTCAAGAATGTGTGTGCTACACATGCACTGACACAATACTTTCATGACTGTGACTCTTACAGGAATCAAAATTAATTGTAGACTCCAAGAAAATCAGTAACTTTCATTTATCGTCCTAACCAAACTGCATTTTTCCTTTACTGCTATCTTTGAGAATTTGGCTGAAAAGGATCAGATACAATGTGGACAAAAATCTTCCTTAAAAAAAAAAAAAAAAAAAAAAAATCAGAAAGTTTTAATTTGGGGGATTTCTTTTGATTGAAATATTTATTTAAATTAAAAGGCTGCTGGGCGTGGTGGTGTACACCTTTAATCCCAACACTTGGGAAGCAGAAGCAGGCAGATCTTTGTGAGTTCAAGTTCGGCCTGGTCTACATAGTGAGATAGTGAGTTCCAGGACAGCTGGGCCTACAAGGAGACCCTGTTTTCTCAAAAAGGCAAAAAAAAAAAAAAAGAAAAGAAAAAATTAAATGGCTATCATTTATAAAGGAATTAAAATGTACAGTGATAATTAGCACTGTGATCAGATCATATATTTCATTAAGGTTCACGTTAACTTTAGGGAACTTTCCTAAATACACCAAAGAAGCAATTGTTTGTATTGAAAATAATTTCGTGATTCTCCTAACATTCTAGAGCAGTTTCTAAAGTGTCACCTTGAGCACACACTTGTGATCCCAGTACTCAAGGCACTGGAGGAATACATTCCAAGTTTGCGACCAGCCTAGGCTATACAGAGAGCTAGTCTCAAGAGCATGGATAAATTGTCATCTTCCTGACTTTAAGAGTGTGTTGCAGAGTGCCACCTAATGGTTAAATAATGATGTTTGCCACTCTAAAAGGGATGTAAAAACTTTTTTTTTTTTTTTTTTTTGGTTTATTGAGTCAAAGTCTCACCTGGAACTTACTGTGTAGACAAACTGGCCTCCAACTCACAGAGATTCACTTGTCTCTGCTAAAATTAAAGTGTGCACCACCATACCCAGTGAAAAACACTTTTGAGGGGCCAGGTATTTCTGTTATTATCTTATAATATCTTATAATAATTACATATATATTATTCTTTTAAATAACCATCTAAAAAATGTTTTTACCAGTAAAAATGCTCAAAATAAAGGTGGGAGGGGGGCTAGAGAGATGGCTCAGTGGTTAAGAGCACTAGCTGCTCTTGCAGAGGACCTAGGTTCAGTTCCCAGCACCTACATGGCAGCTAACACCTGTAACTACTGTTCTAGGGGACCCAAAGCCCTCTTCCGACCTCTGCAGGTATTGCACAACACAGGTGCACTTATATGCACACAGGTAAAACACTCGTACATATAAACTTAAAACAAATTTTTTAAATAAATAAAACTGTGTGTACTATTTTAAATGAGACTACCACAAAGCTTCCCTCTAGAAAAGAAGGCATATGAGAATATTCAATGCAGTATTTCTGTGATAGTAAAATATTAGAATTTATGTATTTATATGCCACAATGAGTAAGGAAAATGTTTAAAATGTTACATCATTCAGATGGAACAGCCTCCATTTTACAGGAATCAAGCAGCTATGTGCTGTGGTGCAATGCAAAGGGAAAAGATACACTGTCCAGTTCCATGGACAGCACACTGCAGTTAAAGTATATAAAGCTAAAATAACATTTAAGGTGTTTATTTCATTACAGCAAACACATACTAATCTCACAATTCTTAAAAACGAAATGTGCATTCTCAGCCTCAGAGTGCTCTAATGATTCTATCAAGGCTTATTAATTATAATTGTGTTGAGCCAAAAGACAGAGAAGAGATTTCTGTTTTTAAAGTGACCATCTATAAAAACAGAAGACTCTACCAGCTTCTAGCGTGTCTGGTTCATCCGGTCTCTGGGCAATCTGCAGGTAATAAAGCAGAGAGCCGTAGAGGTGGGTCCTCACTCGCTGGAATCCGCCACCTAGGAAGACACAGATGTAGTCAAGCAAAACTTCTTGTCAATGAATGTTAAAAACTAATCTCAATGTATAAAAAATGCAGATGTCAAACCTGTCTTCAAAATGAAGTCTAACAGTTTCTTCAATATGATGTGAAGTGAAGAATCTCCAATAGAAGCAAACCCCAGTGGCAGGGCCTCCACTGCAGGAGGTGAGGTCAAAGAACTATCAAGCATAAAAGCATAATGGGCCTCTCCGGGTCCCAAGGTCAGTGGCTGCTTCTGTTCTGTGCGTACAGCCTGGCTTAGGTGAGCGGTCAGTGTGAATACAGCACCAGCAACTACTGGCATTAATTCCTGTGCTGCTTCATCATCCAGGACCTTCAAGGAGAAAGGCAAATCAAGAGTGAGGATACTGCTTTCGGCAATGTCAAAGATTTCTATATACATTTAGCCTTTTAACTACTGTAACAACATAAGAATTATTGAAAGCAAAAATGCCGAGCAGGTGTATTTAACTAACTCGTATCAAAATTCCGTCCCAATGTTTTCTGCTTTGAAATACATACACATGCATTCATGTCATCACCACTATGATCAGTCAGTAGATCTGGGGCAAGATCTGCTCATAAGCATTTTTACAAAGCCCCCTGGATGATTCTGACACACACTCTAGCCCATAGCGCCTACTGTACAGAATTACACTTTCTCAAGGCAAGTCTTCACATTGGTATTGTGTAACTCTATTTTGCATCTAATCTAAAAATGGAAAATTTGAGTAGCATATTGCTTATGGTACATATATACCTACACCACACATAAATATAGCTGTTCAGTAATATAAAGTAACATAGGATGTAACCAATCACCTTATCATGCACATCTTGTAAAATATCACGAATGATCAGCTGCCGATCTTCTGCCTGAATGAGGTCCTGGGGACAAGCTGTCAGAATAATTTCTACCAGTTGCCTCCATGACTCGAGCACATGTCGCTTTGCATGAAGACACTGCAGTAATCTGTTTCTTCCTACTACATACTGAAGAATAGTGCTAATTTCCTAAAGCCACAAAAATTGAAATGGGTTTATACAGGCAAATAATACCTATTATAAACAGGTACTTTTTTTTTGCTCTTTTTGAGACAGGGTCTCCCTGGAGCCCCAGCTGGCCTGGAATTCACTATGTAGACCAGGCTGGCCTTGAACTCTCAGTGATCCACCTGCCTCTGTCTCCCGAGTGCTGGGATTAAAGGCGTGCGCCACGACACCCAGCAATAAACAGGTACTTTTTTTTTAATACTGTCAGTGTTCAGAAAACATTTACTTGAATTGTTTGTAATTTTTTTTAAATTTAGTATTAAAAAATTATAAAATCACAAGCAAAAGATTCCATAAAAGCTTAATTTTATTTTTTAACTTTTTAAACTATTTATTATTTTTATTTTATGTGTATGCATGTATTGCCTGCATGTAGGTAAGTGTAACCATGTCGTGCAATGCCCACAGAGGGCAGAAGAGGCTGTTAGATCCCCTGGAACTGGAGTTACAAACAGTTGTTAGCTGCCATGTGGGTGCTGGGACTCAAACCCGGGTCTTCTGCAACAACAACCAGTGTTCTTAACTACTGAGCCATCTCTCCAGCCCCTTATTTATTATTTTTATTTTTATGTGTATGAATGTTATGCCTGCATGTAGGTAAGTGCACCCGTGTCATGCAATGCTCACAGAGGACAGAAAAAGCTGTCGGATCCCCTGGAACTGGAGTTAGGGACAGCTGTTAGCTGCCATGTGGGTGCTGGGATTCAAACCCAGGTCTTCTGCAAGAACAATCAGTGTTCTTAAGCACTGAGCCATCTCTCCAGCCCCTTAATTTTATTTTTATATTTATTTAAAATGTGCGTGCGTGTGTGTTGCGTGTGTGTTGTATGTGTGCGTGTGTGTGCGTGCACAAGTGTCCATGTGGAGGTCAGAGGACAGCTTACAGGAGTCAGTTCTCTCCTTTTACCATGTAGGTTCTAGAGACTGAACTCAGATCATGGAGCTTGGTAACAAGTACTTTAACCCACTGAACCACTTCATTGGCCTAAGAAAGCTTAATGTTTAAGTAGTTTACTCTCTAATGAACTACAGATGTATTTACAAGGTTTTAAACAAGCAACTTTAAGTAGCTAAGAAGGTCAAACAAACATATCTTCAATAGAGCTTACCTCCATGAGCAGAGGCCTCTGTCCTATGGCAGCCATACCCTGAAGAGCGTTCACTTCAGCTACCAGAACCCTATGAAGAAGCTAAGTAATTAGCGAAAAAGAGAAAAACAGTATCAGACACTAGTAGAATTGTAATACTTAGCAATTACTATAAACTGCCCTAAAGGGGAAAGGTCCATGTACCTTTGTATATAATGTATCAATGACACAATTTCCTCATAGGAACAACAGCCCTCCCTCACCTTCCAGAGAGTGGTACCGAAGGGCCTCTGGGGCAGCAATTTAATGCCAGGGCCTCAATCTTTCATTGTGCTAAAGACATTACCATTTACCTGGTAGAAAACTAAATAATAAAAACTATCCCATAGTCCTAGCTGGGTGGCAAAATTCCTAAAAGAAAAGTGATGGGAAACCTTTTAAACAAATTTGGAGGATTTGGGTGGGTGTGGTGGTGCTCGCCTTTAAGCCCAGCATTCAGGAGGCAGAGGCAGAGGCAAGAAAAGAAATCTGGGGGATTTTTATTTCTTCACTCTTTGACAAAACCCAAAGCCCAATAAGCTAATAACCAAAATCAATATTGGGAGGTTAAAATATATATATATTTTTTGATAGTTCAATGTCTGAACCACTTTAACTGCAGGTACTTTAAAGCAATCCTTACCTTGACATTGCAGACTGTCTGCCCCCGTAAATTCTTGTGCTCACAGTTAGCAATAACCTGTTCAATCTGGGCACGATCAAAAAAATCCAACTGCAAAGGCTCAGGAATCTCCTGACTGAAGTCAATTGAGTCAAGAATGCTCAGAATTTTTCGACGTACTGGAAACAAGAAGCAAATAAAATGCATTTGAGGCACTGAAGAGAAGCACAAAGCACCATACCCAGCTCATTCTTAGATGGGCTGTACCTTTAAAAGGGCATTATTCTACTAACTAAAGACCGTGTACAAATCTAAATCTGATTTATTTCTGATGTCTTCTAACTGAGATACTTTCCTTCTACCCTATAATTTTAGCTATTAGAACACAGATAATACTTTATTGTACAAAATCTATAAACCTGGTTTTAATCAATGTCTATAAACATATGACTAATTCAAAGGGTTTCACCTTTTGTAGCAGTGTCAAAATGAAGGAACCCAGAGACAGATCTATTTTCATCTTCTATTCCGCCTTCACCATCTGTTGGAGCACCAACAATCATAGATCAGAAAAGAAAAAAGTACACTCCTAAAACTACATTTATTTGGAAATGACAAACATAATTTACGTATTTTATTTCTGGGTCAAAGAACCCTTTGCAAATGGGTAATTAAGATGCAAAGATTGAAGAGAACTTACTAGCAAAACTCATCTAACTCTTTTCATCTCTATGGAATCCATTCATAATTTTGAAGAAGATAATTAGAATTTCAAAACCATTAAGACCCAATCATACTAAGAAGATGATTTTTTAAAAGCTTAGGTTTAATTTGCATGTATAATACACACTGAAATAGCTTGGGTCATGCTGGCTTAGTGTGATAAATGTCACTGAACAGTTTTGTATAAAATATGACTGTATGGCTGAAGTGCTAAGAGGAAAAGAAAATGACAAAAGATGGCTTTTAAATTCTGTGTTTTAAGGAAAAATATTCTAAAGCTGGAGAACTCCTTTTGTCTACAGTCAAGATTCAGACTTGAATTTGCACTAAGAAAATCCAGCCAATACCAAGGTAAATCAAGTCAGGTCACCTGAGTAAGGTTTCACTGGCATGTCATCCAGGAGGAGGTGCAGGAGCCTCTGGGTATGTGACCGCTGACGATTCAGAGAAGTTACCCTTAACTCTATTGAAGCAGTCTTCATAAGCCATGACATTTGGTTCAGCATAGAAATTTCATAGTCTAGGATTTAAACACATAAACTCATTTCCTACAGTCATAACACAAGACAGAAAGGGTTTAAATTCCACAATTCATCCAAGAGACCAAGGGAAAAAAATAAGATCGTCTCTAGGAAAGATGAACTTTGACAAACAAACAAAGAAGACAATTATATTTTTTTTTCCTTTTTGGTCTTTTTGAGACAGGATCTCCATGTAGCCCCAGCTGGCCTGGAACTCGCTATATAGACCATACTGGCCTCACGGAGATTCGCCTGCCTCTGCTCCCCAAGCGCTGGGATTAAAGGCATGCGCCACCATGCCTGGCTGACAATTAAAAATTTTATTACCAGGGTAATTTCACAAAGATCTTTGTTTTCACCATAATTTCATATTAATATGCCAATATTTTGTTTAAAAAAGTAATTTTTGAATATTTAACAATTCAAAAAAACCAACATATAATTTTCATTTCACAAAATACATACATAAAAAGAAATTAAACCCTTGGAGCTGGAGAGATGGCTCAGCAGTTAAGAACACTAGCTATTCCTGCAGAAGACCCATGTCAAATCCCAGCACCCACATGGCAGCTAACAGCTGTCCATAACTCCAGTTCCAGGGGATCCGACAGCTTCTTGTGTCCTCCGTGGGCATTGCATGACAAGGGTGCACTTACCTACATGCAAGCAATACACACACACACATAAAATAAAAATACCAAATAAAAATAAAAATAAAAATAAAAATTAAACTTCCACAACATAATTTTATGATCTGTCTTAAGACAGCTGATAACACACCAGGCATGGTGGCACATGCCTTTAATCCCAGCACTTTTGGGAGCCAGAGGCAGGTATATCTGTGCTGGATGGCTTTCGTTGTCAACTTGACACACCTGGGTAGAGGGAGCTTCAACTGGAGAATTGCCACCATTTGAGTGACCTGTGGCCATGTCTGTGGGGCATTTTCTTGATTGTTGAGTGGTGTAGGAGAGCCCAGCCCCCTGTGGGCAGTGCTACCCCGGGCAGGTTGTTCTGTATTATATAAGAAAGCAGGTTGATCAATTGATGAGTGGATAATGAAAATGTGGTTCATATATATGATGGAGTTTTACTCAGCAGTAAAGAAAGATGAAATCATGAAATTTGCAGGTAAATGGATGGAACTAGAAACTGTTATACTAAGTGAAGTAACACAATCTCAGAAAAAAAATCGACATATATTCTCCCTCATATGTGGATCCTAGGATCAGACTCTGATAAATAAGTATGCAAACAGACATAACTGCAG